TATTGCCAAAAGAGTGGCCGTGTGTTTAGTTGGTCTACAGGTCTAGAGTTCTAACCCTCACCCCACACCACCCCCGTCCTCTTGCCCTCGCTTAGTACTTCAGCTTAAAGTATTCAAAGATACCAGAATTAGACCAGATTTTCTTGTATTATATCATGTCCAAGTTTTTTTTCCTAAAAACCTATGGTCAACTTGTGTTTTATTAATATTTTAAGCTGCGAGGAAGTTGGTCAATCAGGTGATATCTTGAGTGTCTTTAGGATGGCTCACATTAAATGTTTGTAGTGACTGCATATCTCGTGTTCCAATATTCAATCTGATATAGAAATGTTTTCATGAAAAATATTATAAATCTGGAGGCGTGCTGCTTTAACTTATTTTTCTCACTTTCTCTATATCATCTTGTTACATGTCATGTTTGAAATTGTAAAGTTAAAACTTGTAACTATATAACTTAATGTGATACTTCAGTATGTGTATATACATAAGTCACACCTATCTGAACCTACATCAAGAGACTCGAAACATGGACTTACAAATCAGCTCGGCGTTATTTAATGACTTATACATACACCGCTTTATTTGATCTTCTAAGGATGGGTAAATTTGAGAAAGAGATTAGATACGATGATAGCAAGCAATGGCTCTTATGGGCTTGTAAAGCCGAAAAGAAAATCTGTTATTTTACTGATTTGTGTACTTAGGATAATCCGGATTTCTTAAAAAGATAAGTTGATAAACGGGAACGTGCCTTGGTCAGAGAAAATAAATGTTATCTTTACAAAGCGACACAAGCACAAAATGTCTTCCAAAACGTCCCTATCTTCTTTCTTTAGTCTGGTAAAGTCTCTTTAAAGACACAAGAAAAGAGCAACTTCCCTGCATATATAAGTAAGTAAATACTCAGTCATGAAAGCAGCATACCTCCAGAGTCATACTAATTTTCATGAATCTTTTGAAAATGTATTTAAAAGCAAAATATTGTGAGGTGAACAAAGAAAGTACATAATCACATTGCAAAGGACACTTGCAATCCTCGTAAATGGACAACAAGGAGGTCAAAGTATATATAAAATTTAAATTTATACAGGTTCTTTCAAAATTTGAGAGACCCTGAGTTATATCATATGAAAATAATAATATGTGCAAAGTACTTTTTCTCAGTGTGACACATGGTTATTTCCGTGTGTATCCGGAAAACAGCGGCAGAAGTGACATATATGTATATGTCTAATTAATGTGATTTACTGGAAATAACATTCATATTTCAATATACATGAACTGCATGCAATATGCAGGGTGTCAAATTCGGACAGCATTGCATACAATCTCATGTATATACATACATGTACATTTATGTCACACGTGGTATTTGTGTATTCCGTTAAATTGACCTATCTATGTCAAACTTAAACTGGATCAAGAATTTTCGAAATGAAGTGGCATTTTTGTGACTTAACGCATGGAATCTCTAAACGCCCCACAATCGGACAAGCACAGTGGCACGTCCCCACAAGTAGCGCGGGTACACTACCGCGAATTTGTTTTTCCTCTAAGAAATAAAAAGAAATAAAAAGAAAAATCTTATGACAATCTTGTCAACTTAATGCACATGTAAATATTGAAATTCAAGTTCATTTACAGATAAATTACTATGGTAAAATGTCATAAATTGAATGAAGTGCCGCAATGAGGAGATATATTGGCCCAATAATAATAAAAATCTTGTATTTAATCGGAAAATCAAAGCTATTAAGCCAGATAATTTTCAAATACTGGCTCGGTCGTACAGACATAATAATTACAACAGATATTGTACACTGGATAGTTTTATAATGCCCGGGGCTATATAATAACTCTGTACCTACGTGTGATATACGTCGTAAATACATTATGTATCTTTCCTATTCAGTATCATCCGTATAATTATAACACTATTTCATCTAATGGACCGGTACTTGACATCTGGTACCACTTGTTAAATTGATCTCTTATTATAAGAGAAGGATCCCACTTTTACCTGTTTTCCCGCCAAAAACAAAATTCTTACGATATAACTAAAACGGTTACTTTCAGGGCCTGTAAAATCTATCTTTTTATCGATTCTGTCATATTTTCGTTAATGTTTAACTTGTGGGGCATTTGTAATGATTTTTTAATTAAAACATTGAAAATAGTGGCTTAAATGACCGTTTCATATTCTGAAATCAATTAAAGTGAAAGTATTTAGACATATAACAACAAACCACAAAAGAATCATGTATGGATGTTGGAGGCGTGAGATACATGATCCAATATGACCAGATAATAAATTGTTCTAGAACAATATATTATAATTATCCATATAAATGTACATACTAAATCGCTTTGAACTTTATCAACATTTTTTTATGTTTCAAATAATATTTTATAAGAATATCCAAATGATACACTAATATTGGTTTGTAAATTCTGGAATACTTTAAAATATTCTCTACCACCGCTTTAATTGACAGAAGAAACAATTTGTCCAATCCACTTTAATGTCCGATTGAATATATTTGAAATTTGTTAAATATTTAAATGAATTATTTGACTAAAGCGTTTGATACGCTTTTTCGATTTTTTAACAGACTAAAAAGATGCGTTACTGGTCATTTTTTGTCTCAAATGTGATACAAAAAATTCTTTTCAAATGTACTGAGGACAGTTAGTTACGAATGTGTAAAAAAGTTTTCATTTATGCAGAAAAAATGTAAATTTTTGTGTGTGACTGTGATCGAAGGGCTTTGGGTGAAGAGAACAGAGTTGTTTATGGTGTTTTTAATCTGACTGTACTTTTTTGTGTGTTCAAACTTGAAAAGGGTCTTCTTCTTTTAAGTACGTATACTTTTGTTTTGATCTTAGGTTAAACTGTATATGTTTTACATAAAAGATAACAGGAAACAATCTCTTTAGGTATTTGAGAGCAGACGAGCATATATACATACTATTTGTCGGATCTATATATCGAGGGGAAGTGGTACTTGCATAACTTCAATTACTTATTCAACGGAAATACATACATACGCGGGAATGTGGCTACGCAGTTTGAACGGAAATGTTCTACAGGTGGTCAAATCTGGCACAATGGTCTGGGTAATGTCACGTGATCAGCGGCTCACAGTTTCGTTTTCATGTGATAATTTACGACCAAAACAAATCGGTTTTATTGGACATTTCCTGTTCTTCAAGAGACAATAATTACGAATGAGCGAAATATATGGCACATCTGATTAGCTGTGGATAATTTTTGGCATTCACAATCATGTGGCAAATATGGCAGTCACTCAGCAGAATTTTGCACCCCTTTTTAAAAAGTCGTTTAATATTACGTCATATCAACATAAATAAATGGATGTTTTGTTACATTTATAGATGTACCTTTATAATATATATGTATAACTATAGTACACATGTAGTCCGTAATCTGGTAAATATAAAAAAAGATATGGGTAGTTTTTCTTCTTTAGAAAAAACAAATATACTACAATGGAATATGAATTATCTCAGGTACACCCCCCCCCCCCCCCCAAAAAAAAAAAAAAACAAAAAATAACAACAACAACAAAAACAACAACAAGACAGACCGTATCAAAAGTATTCACATCTTACATTGCATAATACAGGTTCATATACGAAATTTCAGCTTTATGTAATATGTAATTAATTTTTTGATTTTATACATCATGATCTTTCAAATAGAAATTTAAAAGTTCCTGTGTATTTAGAAAGAATACAGATATCAACCCTTCACTTGAAAGAATATCACTACCATAAATGTTTCTAAGATATGATAGTTTCGAATCCCCCCCAACCCCCCCCCCCCCCTCACTCACCTTCTCCCTAGGACACATGACCACCCCATTCTAAAACTGAATCAGTGAACATTTGTACCCCTCTCCTCTCCCCTGAAGGAAAGGTTCAGGTGAACACTTGCCATAACACCCCGGGTCAATCATTGCCCATTTTGGCAATATTTACTAAATATATGAAATGTAAAAATAAAGTTATCCTTGTTACAACAATATGGGTATTCACAAGATAAAGAAAATGTGTTGTTTTTGTTCGTTATGTAGAAAAAAAATTGAAATGTCATTTTTTGAATTATTATTTAATTATCATTATTATTATTGCTAATTATTGCATAAAGCAAGAAATTTGCTAACATGTTTAGAACTTATGGTTTGTCTATCTATATTATCATATATAGACTTCACGTATAGATGTTTATTTGACGATTTTCTAAAGTATTTTTGTAGAATAAATTTAACCCTAAATTCTAATTTTCTTAAGTTTGAAACTGGGGAAGGATTACACAATCAATGCGTTAAAATACATGTACACGACGTGATCAGATTTATATTAAGAAGTTAGGTTTATTTTAAATTTGTATTTAACAATTTTATCTGCGAGTTATTTATTTCGTATGTTTTAAATCTTAGTTAAATCAAAGAGGAAACCCAAATCTAGGGTCCTGAATCGATTTAAATGCGTAAATTAAGTTTTTTCGACTTTTTTGTAACTTTGTTTCCTTTCTTTTGTCATGCTTTTCAAATATTGTAACGGAAAGAGCGGATTAACTCCACGTGCTACTCAATTCTGCGCGCCGAAAAACGATGAATGGAAAGTTATCCAGCCGTAAGAAAAACGGGTAACAAAGAGTTTCAAACCGTTACTATTTTTAGCTCCACGTGGCCGATAATTGATTCGCAGTTTATCACCTTTTTAGTATAAGAAAGGATTAATTTTGAGTAATTCTTTGATAAGCAATTAAAGAAAGGAAAACTCGACCAATTAACACCTGTAAATTAATTACGATAAAAGCAGGAAACAAAAAATTGGCAATTACGCACGCAAATTAGTAATGTTATTGTTTGTAATACATGCCTGTGTGACTCCGCCCTTTACGAAATATCGACCAATAAGATAGCTGATGCAGCCAGCAGTATTTACGATTTTGATGGATCTTGGGAAATGACGTCACGCCACCATCATTTTATGCTATGTACATTTGGATGTTCGAGCAGACATTTCACATGCTTCGAACTGTGTAGAACGTGGAAATTAACGGAAACTGATACAAATTCTAGTTATATTTTTCTTATATTGTGGATTTATTTAATGAAGTGAACATGCCAGCGAGTGTTTACACGGATATGAGTTCAAATTCACAATTGATGGAGGACCAGCGTGCGCTGCAGCTCGCTTTTGAACTTTCGTTATTGGGTTTGAATGGGGATGATGAAAATATGCCAACAAACAACGGAAACCTTTCGCCACAAAGTTTCGCCGAGGAGCAAGCTAAGAGGCGTAGTGCCAACATGACCGAATGCGTGCCTGTGCCGAGCTCTGAGCATGTGGCCGAAATCGTGGGTAGGCAAGGTAAAGTGTGTAGTTCTTTATTTACATGGGGTATTTTCCGCTAAACGTCTCGTGGTAAACACAGTTATTCCTTTATCGCACGTTCCGTTTGGCGCGTTATTCATAGAAACACATGTGCGTGTTAAACCAGTCTAATTGAAATTCTAGATTATAAAGATTAGTTTCAAATTTCAGAGTTAATCCCGTTATTTTCTTTGTAAAACAATAAAGTATTTGTTTAGTTATTTATTGCATATAAATGACCCTACTCAAGTAACAACATCTTTTAGTGTATAAGTAAGTTACATAGGTGAGGTCGAAACGTACATGTACAGTAGTACAGTAGAGGGCTACATTTTTGTATGAGAAATGAAATATTACTCCAGTCAAATAACTTAGATGTTTATATGGCTAAATGCCAGAATAAGCAAAGTTGTTGCTAGATATAAAAATCTCATATTTATCACATAAAATTATGTAAAGAATTTTTTTTCCAAAAAAATTTTTAGGTCAATATGATGTTGTTATTAATTATCTGTTAAAAGTAAAACTGCAGATTTTACTATATTTTAATAATTTACAAGTATTTGATAAAAATGTTGAAAGAAATATTATGAGGACCTTTATTTCACTCACAGTCACAAGTTACCAATTTGTTAAATTAATGCTATTTCTAAATACAGGGTTGCTATTGCATTTAAGTAAAGTAACACATTTTGCTGGTCAGGTGTTTTATATATATATTTTTAAATATAGGTATAATATGTTTATATCTAAAAGGAAATAATCCTGTTAAAATAGTGAAGGCAGATTTTAGTCCGTCATGTGCATTAAAAACTTAAATTGACCAAAGGTACCGTGAAGTAACCAATTATTATTATCCAAGTTATTTTGATACTAAAACCTAAAATTTATGTTCTAAAAAACTAAATATCAATTGGTACTTCTGGTATGGCAATTGAAAATTGGTATAGATCAAGTGTTAGTAATGTACAGAAATGGATATATAAAATGGGTACTTCAGAGATTTTTATTCAGAACTAATGAAGATGCATTTTTTTTACAGGTTGCAAAATCAAAGCCTTGAGAGCTAAAACCAACACTTACATAAAAACACCAGTGCGTGGAGAAGAGCCAGTCTTCGTTGTTACAGGACGCAAAGATGACGTCGTACTTGCTAAACGGGAAATACTATCTGCTGCCGAACACTTCAGTCAAATCAGGGCGTCTAGACGGAACTCTAGTGTAACCAGCATCTCAAGTAATGGTTTATCAGGTCCCCCTAGTCCAAACGCCCCAGGTCAGGTAACCATCCAGGTACGAGTCCCATACAGAGTTGTTGGCCTTGTTGTCGGACCAAAAGGAGCAACAATAAAGAGGATTCAACAACAGACGCACACATACATCGTAACACCAAGCAGAGACAAAGAGCCCGTGTTCGAGGTCACAGGTCTTCCAGAAAATGTTGAGAAAGCTCGTCAGGAGATTGAGAGTCATATTGCCCTTCGAACTGGAGGTATGGTAGACAACGCACCAGATGATGATTTCCATCGAAATGGAATAGATTCGGGATTCCATGAATTGAATGGTTCAAGCAGTGATTATATTAGTTCAATATTCGGTAAATCAACAAATGGAATGTCTGCATTTACTGCTTACAACAATGCATTAAACGGAAATGGACTTATGAACCGCGGACCAGAGACTGTGTTTAACTTCCCTCCTGTAAACGGCACATCGAAAATTTCGGACTTTCCTGGGCAAGTGAATGGCTTTGGCTCCACATTTAATGGGTTTCCAAACATTTATGACAGTTTGAATGATGAGGGAATTGGCTCTCCCATCATTTGATACAAGTGTACCTCCTGGTGTGTGGTCCGACGTGAACGACAACAGAAATCCCAACCTAGTCTCGCTATTCGGAACAACAAATACAACAAACATGAACGCCATCGGATCAGGTATGAGCGGAATCCCACGGATATCACCGACTTCAAGTGAAATGTCAACCGGGTCAAGCGCAACGGGTACAAATTCCACATCACATTCACCCCCGTCAGAGCCTCCTTCATCCCGGAGGATACGCAGCGATCCTCTTGCTAGTGCTTTTACGCCATTTGTTACTCTCCAGAGTGAGTTGTTTCCGGCCGTGTCCGGAATCACGTGCACAAGTAGTGTCGGACTTGACTCAAATGTAAACGGAATAAGTGTTAATTCTACAAGTGCTGATGCCAGTACATTAAGTGCGGCTGGCGAGTCTGGACTCGGTGTACGCAGAAACTGTATCATGTGCTCTGAAAGTGAGGTAGTTGCGGCCCTAGTTCCATGTGGACATAACTTCTTTTGTATGGAATGTGCAAGTTTGATAGTGGAGAAACCAACAGGTACAGTTGACAGGATTTGCCCAGTCTGCAGACAAGAACCCTCTCAGGCCATTCGGATCATTTCATAAAAAAAAATCATAAAATACAAACACTATATAATTATATATTAAAAAAAAATCATCTGCTATCCAAATATCTGTAGAAAATTCCATTCTGAAGAGTATGTGCCAATTTTTCATATTGCTTCTATGTTCAATTACTTGAAAGGCAGACTACATAACTGGGGAATTATTATTATGTTGGAATTTTGCCTGTTATCTGTAGTTAGTTAGTCTAGAACGGCAGAGAGAGGGAGGAATACATAGATACCTATCTTTAAACATAGCAATGTTGATTCTAACATTGCATACACTAGACCAATAATCAATGACTGCGAATGCTGGAACTCTGGTAGGCAGAATATACAATGTATTGTCTAAACATACACTTTTCCCCCATTTTGTAACGACCTAATTCGGAAAAAAAAAAATTAATTACTCTATTCTTTACTATGAAGCTTTTTGTGAAGAATTGTAGCTTTTGTAATTTTTTTGTGTCGAGAAAAATTGATTTGTTATCTATATAATTAATGACACAAGATGATTTTTCTTCTATTTACAAGGATTAATTTATGAAATTATTGTAACGCTTGATTAATTTGACTTGAAATAAAACCTTTGACAATCTTTCATATGGAGTAAAAACACTGCTCTGATAATTTACTGTTCACAAATTAATTTTGCCCGATGGTTTATGATAATTGCTATCTTTTGAGATAATTTCATGTTTCATTCTTAGCCCCGCCTTGAAAAGGGGACTGGCATCAATCAATACCCGCTAGCGATCATGCATATTATGAATATTTATGAGATTATTATAATTGAGTTATATATTATATAATAAGATGTATAAAATTTATGATGCAAATCAACATTTGAAATTGGTCATTTTTGTCATTGCCCACGCCCCCCACGCAACATTTTTCACAAGGATTTTTGTGTATAAATATTTCAATTATCCAGTAAATCTATAGTATTATATTTAATTATTGACTTTTATATTTGAAACAAATATATAGACATATTTTATTCACTGTTTACAGTATAGTATGTATTAAAGACTTGTTTAATTAAATTGTTGAACTTTTTACTAGCATCTTGAATTTGCCTGAAATTCTTTCACGCACTCGATGCCTTTTTTTCGAAGAAGTGCATACTTGGCACAAATATATACTTCTGAAATACTTGTCAAGTTAAATGTTTAGTAAATTTTGTTTCATGTAAAGTGACTCACATTAGGGATTCGGGATTCTTTCTTACTTGCAAGAAAAAAAAAACACCAAACTTTGACAATCATTATTTTGAACACTGACTAATACCCCGATTGTAATTATTTAGATCTAGAGTTACCTTATGGGAAAGATGTGGTAGTTATGTAAATAGAAAACAAATGGGGGGATTCATATGCTCAGTTTTTCTGTGTAATGTATACATTATACAGCTTAGGCAAATATTTTTGTTGGCTGATATGCATAACGGATAGTTACAGTACAGACTGACCAATTGACCAATACACGCTCGTTTTGTGCATTATTGGATGTTTTCAATACTGAACCTTGGGAGGAAAATCTATGTCTCGGAAATATCAGGCAAATTCAAGTGCTAATGTTATTTTTGTGTATACGATTTACCAATTATGCCTACATTTTTTCCATTTTTGCAAAATATGTTATTAACGTGTTTATTTGTACATAGTGTATAATTATCATAGATTAATTAGGAAAAATGTTATATATACATATATTTTTTGTTTTTCAAAAGTACAGCTTTATTTTGTTCTATAAAAATATATTGAGAGTAATATATAGGCGTTTTTTGTAATATATTTTTTTGCCCATTGAAATACTTATAGATCTGTGCTCCTATAAACATTGATATTACATTAAATATTATGCTTGGTTTATGCCAAGTATCAATAGCAGACGATTGGGTCGCAGAAAATTCGATTGAATATATGTATCACCCATTCTGTTGTCCATCTAGTTGTAGACTTCGTTTTTAAGGTAACGCCATTGGAATCTGCAAGCAAGGGGATTAAAAGTTATTAGGGAACATAGCTATAAATTGAAATTCAAGGGATCAGTTTTTAAAAGGGGATCGAATCTTGAACAGAATGTTAAATAAAAAATTGAGACACTGAGAAACGTACAATTACAAATATTGTCAACGTTCTGTGTTTGTCATTCAAGTATGAGGTTATAGCGAAAATCATACCCTTGATCCATATCATTTTTACTTGTCAAGTAAGAAATGGCGGCCTTGATATTAAAGGAACTCGTACCTATTAAAGCAATAATTCTTTCCATCAAATGTTTGTGATTTTATAAATCACATACGTAATAAGTTGTCTCCAAATGATAGATATATATATTATAAATTATATACATGTATTCGTTTTCATGACATTTATATTCTTCTACGTTCCATTACTTTATTTGAAACTGTGTTTTCATCATCTCCATTGTAGTAACATAAAATACGATTATTTATCCACGATGTTGTAAGACAGGTAGAAGTGAGCTGCCTTGAATTATATGTATTATATTTTTCTTGCATCGCGTTAATTAATAAATGTCTCCCATTAAGCGCAAAACTATGTTAAGAATGAATCGAAATGAAACAAATATTTGTAACATCAGTTGAGGGTCAGGTCACTTTGGTTAAAAAGATTTAAAAACCTCTATTTTTATTATGCAAGAAGAAATTTTTAGTGCATTTATATGGCCAAAAAATAACTTTTTTCAGTAATTTAATCGTTAGATAGCTCTTTTATATAGGAAAGTTCCATCAAATTCCTGATATTGAAACATATGGTTTCAATAATTGGCAGAATTTATTACAATGAGAAAGAGCAATTAGCCAGTGTGACCTGTTGTTCAATTAACTCAACAAATAACATCATCACATAGTTCCTAAAGTGCATTAATGATTTTGGGATTTTGTTGTAGTTTTTAGCTTCCTTAAGCCATATGGTCTTCCAAAAAAGAGAATATATATATAGCTGATCACAACCCCTTGATTTAATTTCACAGCCCCCGCCCCACTGCTCAAATTTATATACATGTTTTAAACATCACCATGAAATGCTAAAAAAACAACATTTTTGTCTTAAATGGTACTTGGGTCTTAAAAATTTTCATGGAAGGTTTTTACACATCTTTAATTCTTAATGTAAAGTTTAAAGAAAATGATGGTAAACAGAAATTCAAAGAAAAATGGAAACAATTGAGAAAAGAGAGGGGAAAAATATCGAGATCAAAAAATTAAGTAAGCTTGTAAAATTAATACAGTTATATATATACTTTAGACTATTTCGTATGTCAGGTTTTGAACAAAATTTAAATTAAGATTTAATAATTAATTGATGTAGGTAATCGAACCTTGATGATGAAATTCAATCGAGACCATGCCTTAGTTGTGTTTATTTATTGATGTGAACAAAGATTTTGGCAACGTAATCAATATTTGCTTGAACAAAGACGTCTTTGTTTTCCATGTATATTTGTAATGGAGCTATTAAACCACTGTTCTCCATGTTAAGTAATTGCTCTGAAAGGCTTTATTTATTTATGCAACCATAATTATTTTTGTAATAGAAGTAGATTTATGAAAAGTTTACATGACTTTGATATGTGAGAGAGAAAGTGTTGTTAAAACCTAGTTAGATTGTAAATTATTCATCAAAAAAAGTAGCGCAAGTAAATAATAGAAGGTTAAAAAAAACACAAATGTATAGGGATATTAGACAATTACTATTTTTAGAAAATAAATCGAAATGTATAAGATATATTTATTATATATTTATGAACCAATTGAAACAGATATATATGTGAAATTGCGATTTTCTTAAAACTATCATCATTCAATCGATCATTCCTCATCATTATCATCACTCACCCAGATATAAACCAAGAGATCACTGATTATCTATGCACAGGCAACAAATGTGTGTTAATTCCATGTATAATGTATTTTATCATCAAGAAATTCACAAAAACTCATCAAGAAATTTTTATCGCCCAACCTTTTATTGTTTTGTCCATGCCAAAAATGAAAAAAAATCCTTTTGATTTTAAAGGTGAATCTTTACTATTAATGAGAAATGTATAATTTGGAATTATTTTATTTTCTTCAGACAAAATCACTAAATATTTTTACAGTCTGGTGTTCTTTTGTTGTGTAATTGAGTAATAAAAACAAACTATTTTGCTTTTTATGATCAACATAATAATAACCTGCCAAATTTTCATAAAGGAAACTCTGAAAACTTGGAATATATATCATATATATATATGTAGTTATTTGTGAAAGAATTTTTTGAATCAATTATTTATGCAATAGTAAATTAAGGGACTCAAAAGTACTATATTTGTGAAATCCCGTTAGATATATACATGTACCCTATTGTTTAATAAATAGTACATCATCTTCTCATATCCCCACCCCCCCTGTTTGTTGTAGAGTTCAATAAAGTGTCAGTGAATTCGTGTTTGAGAAGATATAAGATATTTTTATAGAAAAAAAAATTTTGTTTTCAGATATATTAATAATCTATATACAATAAATGTTGTATACCCCACCCACTCCATTATACTTCTTTCTTTCTGTCTATGAAATCCTTTATTATTGTGAGATCTGCACCTTACACTTATTCAAACTACCCGTTTTTTCCCTACTACACACCCCCCCTCCTTTCTCTACCCATTTGAACTATATATATATATATATAGAGTTTTAAAAGGGAATTTGAACTGTATATGAAAAGACCACTTTAGTACATGTACTGTAAATTTAGATATTTTGCGGGGCAAATATTTTTGTGAAATAGACATTTTGGACAAATGGGGAGTTGAACTTCCAATTCACTGCTAATTGGAAAACTTGCATTTTCACTGCTACTTCCAATTTACAGTAGATGCAAAAGTTTACCCAGTTGCAAATATTTATTTTTTACAAAAATCTGGAATTTACGAAATATGTACCTCCGCATAAATTTCTGGTTTTACAGTAACCTTATATTCCAAATAATGTGATAATAACTCCCAGAATATAGGGCCCAAACTTAACTTGCATCTGGACCCATAATATTGTGAACAAAATTTTATTTGTATATTTTTGTATGTTTAAACTGTTATACTGAACTATTGTTTTAATCCAACACAAGTATTTTTTTACCCATATTAACTCGACAGTGCTTTAAAAAACATTTAAAGACCTTATGCCAATCTTTTGGTTTAATTTTCTCTCCAAAGAAAACAGAAGAAAGGAACAATTTACAAAAAAGAGTGGAAAAAAAAGCATACTCAATTATGGAACTGGAAAAAAAAAGAAAAGAAATTGACATGTTAGTAATTTTTGGGTGTTTAGCATTTTTCAAAGAGATTATACTTAAGATTTTAAACCTAAGGAATTTTGATGATTATAATCAAGAATGGAACAGGGTGAAACTAACATGTAAGGCACTTACCATCTTCATGCCATTTGGGATGTTTTTGTTTTTTACCTGTAAGAAATTTCAGCTTTTCTGTTGTGGAATCTGGGAGTGTAGAATTTATTTGATTCAAACATGTTTTATGTACTTATGTTTTAATAAACATGGCTTTAGAACTATTATATTTTAACATTGGAAGTATGCTGGGGGTATTTTAGTAATGAATAGCTTTATTTAGAGAAATGAGAGAGAGAGGTAATGGATAGATTCATGTTTTAAGTTATTGATTTCTTACACATTCTTTTTATTGATTAACAGATTGATTTTGTAACTGAGGATGAAAAACAAATTCCAATTTTTCTTGCTTTAGCCGAAATGTTATTAATTGATTGTTGAATAAGTATTTAATAAAGAAAACAACCAAAAAAATATTTTATACTGATTTTGTATATGTGTTTTTTAGTAAATCTGCTTCGAGTTTACTTAAAAACAAAACTTCTTACTCCAATATTATAAAGAGATTCTATTGTAATTCTTTTATTTTTGTTAATGTTTATTTTTCTTTTATATTATTCTTTTTTGTTTATTTTTTTCATTTTGAGGAAGGAATCTTGTTCGGTTAGCTTTTTCCTGAGGAACAAAGTCTTTATTATTTTTTGTACTATGTATATATTTATATAAAACCAAATGGAGGTAACACATTTGAATATCAATTTTCTTTTTTCTTTGATCAAATTAAGTAAATTTTTTCTTGGGTCTTTTTATCAGATGTTACTGACGGCAAGAAAAAAGTTTAATAAAAGGGGGGTCCCTGTTTTATTATTATTATATATTATATATATATATATTTGTTTGTTACGCAAAGAATTTTTGCTGTAAATGTTGTTAATATGATTCATAATTAATTGTTCACACGCAAAAATGTGCAAGTGGCTATCCAAAAAGTTGTTAGAGCTTAGATTTTTCTATTTTATTATTTTCGTATATATTCAACGTATGCAATTATATGTGTATAGTAGTGATCTAGACAAGATAAAAGGTCGGTGGAGCCGACTGGATTAACAAATATACATAAATATTTTTTATTTTACTGGGCAGGTTCAAGGCCCAATCTTATATTGAACTATATTTGCAGATTTTTCAAAACTCAAATGAAATGTAAAATTTTATTTTTCTGCTATTAAAAGTACAAAAAAACTTGGTGTCTTTTGTTTTATATTGATTGAAATTTATGGTGCTTTTGTTTTCATACCCGTTAAGAGAAGCTTTAATGATGCTATGAACTGTTTTCAGGCCAGAGTTCTACTGCATAATTATTATAAAACATGGCCAAGCTTGGTTAGCTATGTGGAATACCAGCATATTTGTACTAAATCTTGAGCGGAAAGTATTGCATTTGCATATTTTATAGTCTGTTCTAAAGAACATTCGTTTCTCCACACTGGTGCCTTGTGGAGAAGTTGTGAGTGGATTACAGAAAAGTAGTTTTCTTGCAAGGGAAACCGTCATAGATAGATGTCTTGGAAGTCAGTAATGTTATGACTTAAATTTTGTTGCCAATCAGTCTGTGAATGATGTACTTTCATGTTGAATTGGTAAAATGAATTCTGTTTTCTGTAATGTTCGTATTTGAACTGGAATATTACGTGACTCCAATATATTGCAAATTGCGTCACATGCTTTGTGGAGATAAAACTTATCTTAATAAAACAACAAAAATGCAAAATAAAGACATTATTAATATATTTCTATGTCTAGTGTCCGACTTCCGGTCTCTATGGTTCATTTCAAGGGGCTGGCTATTGAGGAAAAACCCACTTTAAAAATTAAAAATTTTGATACGTACAATAATATACTCAAATGTAAAACAACCCTTGAGATAACCACACACTTATCTTTATGATAACTATTATTTAAAAAAAAATCGGCAGACGAACAAAGATCTTCTGCTACCAACATAGAACGAGAGCAGCATCGCAGAATTTAAGATATTCTCTACAATCAGAAATGAATCATTTATGTGTTTGCTCTCGCCTGATCAATTCAAATCACTTGTCACAGCTACCAATGAAATAGACACCGTTTTATTCTGGTAGCTATGGCAACGAAAATTAAGACTCGGCATTAACAATAACGAAGCGCCCCGTAAATATTATGCTACATTTTTACAATGTTTATAAATGTTAGGATATTTTTATTTTCTCCCCTAGTATCACGCTAGGGTTAACTTAGTTAAGCAGACGACAATTTGTGTTATTACTAAGCTATTATATGCATGTATATTATAATACCAGCGTGACATGAATCTCAATTAGACGAAGCCACCGTGCTAATTAATATTTTTCTATTATACAAGTCAACAATTGCATATTAGCATACAGTAGTCACGAAGGACAAAATAAATAAATATCTACCAATTCAAAATCTATTGTTAATTAAAAGAAAATGGGGGGAAAGTGTTATTAATATACATGTATTTACTTTTAATTACAAATTGAAACACGGCAAAGCTGGTTCGACATGATAGGTCGAGAGGCAAGAACTTAGCCATCCGGGCGCCGGTAATACGGTAGTCGGACACATCAGCATTGGTACTGATCGAGCCCCACCAGCCTATGCAGCCCGAGTCCGAGCAATATATATATACTTCCGATTTCCCAACTTCTAGAAATTATACAATGGGCATTCCAAAAGTTGTTACCCTTTAGTTCTAAAGAAATCGAAAATAATTACTTAATTCCAAAGATGGTTACTTTACAAATTTATTTTATAAGAGAAAAAGCTATACCCACTCATTCCCGACTAACTAATAATACTAAA